CAAAACCCTCTCCCAGCGTCGCGTAGGCTTCACCGTCGAGAAGGGTTCCCCCGCCCGTGAGGGTGCCGTCATCGTCGATATTAACGACGAATCCCGCACTCCCGTCGGCATCATCACCTCCGGTCTCCCCAGCCCTACCCTCGGCGGTACCAACATCGCCATGGGCTACGTCAAGCAAGGTCTCCACAAGAAGGGCACCGAGGTTGGCATTTTGGTCCGGAACAAGCTCCGCAAGGCTACCGTTACCGGTATGCCCTGGGTTGAGAGCAAGTTCTATCGTGGCTAAGGCCTAGATCTCGTACTAGGGTTGAGCTCTGTTATTCTGGCTTTTAGGCTTTTGTGGTTGTTGTTTTTGTTCCTTTGTCTTTTATTGAATTGCTTCATGCCGTGATGTACTGTAGATATTACGATTCCCCTTTTCATTGCATTTGTACGAGACTGCTATCAACTCGTCTCGAATTGGATGCCCCGTCTCGGCTGGGTGTTTGATTGATTCTCAACGAATGAATAAAAGAATTTAGAAAGCTTCATGAGTGGGCTTGTTCTTGGTTTGCGGTAGGATTGTGTAGTCTTTACCTAGGGAATGTTTAGTTGGGTACGTAGTTTACTTGCTAGTCTAGGAGGTCAGTAATGTCCATCTTGCTCTGAGAGGAGTAACTTTATATTACAAACTCAAGACTACAAGTATTGCCATAGCTAGTATAATTAAACCAGCTCTCATAATTACCATTAACGCCGGTTCATACCCTTGAGCTTAATCAATAAGAGCACCCCTTGTTGACAGAGACGGCGGCAGATCCTCCTCTCCAGTGCCCCAGTGGCTCTCATTCCTTCCCAACACAAGCACCAACTCCCGTCCCTCAGTGAAAAAGTCATGTCCCACCCAGTTCTTGGTATAAGGCTTTCCATCCAACGTCGCAGATTGGATGTAAATGTTCTTGTACGCAGGATCGAAGTTAACGGCACGGATCGTGGCGGTCCGTCCCGTCAGCGGCGAGGTGATGCGAACAGACTCGAAGAAGGGAGCCGAGATCAGGTACACATTTTGTCCCGGGTTCGGGAAGAGACCCATCATGGTCATGGCGACGAAGGAACCCATGGCGCCGGAGTCGTCATTGCCGGGTAGTCCGGTTGGGTTTGCGTTGAAATATTTGGGGACGTAGAAGTGGGCGCGGGAGGTGGATTTGCCGGGACGGCCGCCGTAGTGGTACTGGAAGACGGTTAGGAAAGAGGGCTCATTGCCGATGTACGTAATGCCCGTATCATGAAGATAGTCGAGGCGACGGACGAATTGGGATGGGCCTCCGAGGCGGCTGATGAGAGCGGCCATGTCATGAGGGACGAAGCTGGAGAGTTAGTGTGGATTAGTTGAATCGTTTGGCTAGCTTTCACCTACAATTGATACTCCCATATGCTGTCCTCAAATGTTTCGGCTGCATTGTTTTGAAGCGAGCAAGCTCTCCCGCTCGTGTCAATGCTGGAACAGGTGATAGGATCCTTTCGTTAATTAGACGTAAATACTCTCATGGAAACTAGGACATGGGGACAAACCTGATAACCCCAGGTACCATTCAGGTACTTGGGTTGAAAGAAGCCTTTGAATCCGGTATCGGTTCCGTTTATGAATGAGGCCTGGTCGTCGCGAAACAGATTCTGCCAGAATCGAGAAGTAGCTTCGTATTTCTCAGCGTCGCCCTTCTTTCCGAGCCCACGGGCCATTTGTGCAATAGTGAAGTCATTATAAGAGTATTCCAGTGTGCGGGAGACGCTCCGCGTCATCGTTCCAAAGCCCTTGTAGTCAAAATCCTCTACTGGAATGTAGTTCAGCGATTTCCAACTGTCCAGGCCACCACGTCCTTCGTTCGACCAGTCATACGGTTCTTCTTCAGCATCCTTCTGGACGGCGGAGTAGCCTGCCTGCCACTCGATTGCATCAGAAATTCCCTTGAGGTATGCATCGGCAAGGACAACGTCCGCGTTTGAACCACCTTGGGTGTAACCTAGACCCGTCAGTCCGCTTCTATTAATAGGGCTATAGTTCCGCACCTTTGCAGAGCGACATGCGGCAGTCTGGAAGCCAGCCCAGATGTTTCTGGGTATCAATCAACGATCGAATCATCCGAGCCAGCGATTCAGGATCGAAGATGGTCAAAAATGGCAACTGAGACCGAAACGAATCCCAGAGACTATCACATATCAGAGAGGAGCTCTACGAATGGATGGTGCGCATACCAGTAGAAAGAGTCAAAATATGGCTCTGTGCTCTTCCAAAGCGGGTTCTCCCCGGTGTAGTCCTGCGGATTGATCATGGTACGGTATATTCCACTATAAAACGTGGACAGGAAGGAAGAATTGACACCATTTCTCGATACTCGAATGGGAGCAAGCTTCTTTGTCCACGAATCCACCGCGGCAGAATGTGTCGCATTGAAGTCAAAGTTAGGGATTTCAGACTCAGCGTTGCTGCAAGCTTGTTCACTACTGATGAAGCTAAGGCCGATCCGGGCTAGAACCGTATCATCGGCCGATGAGTTAAATCGAACGAAAGCACCTCCCTACACTCGTTAGTTGTATCTGGCACTAACAGGTTCGATGCCTGAACCAACCGGTAGAGGATAACCATTTATGCTCCGTGAGATCGTGAGGTTCTTTACCTCCGTACTCGCTCGCGAATTGACGAATATACCATTATCTCTGACACCAGAGGCACTGTGAAAGTCAACGCAGAAGTACGGGGTGTAGGATCCGCTTCCAAAGCTGGGTAAAAAGCGAGCATGGCCAACCATCCGCCCCGTGTCAGCATCTACGGAAATAGTTCCATTGTCCTGTCGCGTGTCGGACAAGTCACTAAGATCCAACAGGATAAGGGGCTTTGCTTCGCGATCTGCTGGGAACCGAAACCGGAAGAGAGATGCATGGTGGGATACAGTCATGTCTACCTGAATCCCCGAGGCCATAGTCAATGCAAAGTAACCCGGACTCGCAGAGACAGACCCGGGATTGTAGCGCGTCTTGCGCTGTTTCTTGGGATACACACAGCCATTGACATCGTCATCCTTGCAGCTCACATATGGGAATATGGGGAAGTTCCCGAGCGACGGTTGACCTCCAGTACCTGAATCATGCAGACTGGAAAACCCTGTGATGTTACTCCCGTCGTATGCGAAGCCGCCCTGGTTGTTCACAGAGTCTGTATCGGCAACAGCCTTCGCCATCCCATAGGGAAGTGACGCGCCGGCGAAGACGTTCCCTAAAGAATACGGGTAATCAGATGCCAATCACAATGTTTTGTTATTGAGACCTGATTGGAAATTTTTATACCTCCGTTCGCACTTCCGATAAGCGGGTCAACATATTGCAGTACATCGTAGTCTTCAGGAATTGGAACAGAGCGAGGGTTTGTGTAGCCCAGGGCAAGAGGAGTAGCGATAAAGATCGACCAGAGAACAGAAGACGCCATTGATAACAACTATTCTAACAGTTTACAACAAATCAAAGGAATCTGTCTTGACAATAACGAGGGTAGTCAGTTATGGGATCAGGGGGATGACTATTGACCATCAGGAATGCTCCTTCCTGGCATGCTGGGTGGGAGGTACTTTATGCATGCCATCCACGGGGTCATGGACTCCAGGGGAAGGCCCATGATTCTACCCCATAGTAGGGGCAGGTGAGTACTGTGCATGGTCCCCGTACGTATAAATATCGGCGACAGGCATTCTGTCCTTAATTTCAACAATATGTATACCCCTGTTGATCAATGCACTAGGATACGTTCGATGCCTCTGAATGGTTCGGGCTGTGATCAGTTCGGTGTCACGCAGGATGTGGCGCTAAAAGTTCATTTACGTTCAATAGTTGTGATAATATAAACAGCCATCATGGGGCCACAGAAAGGCGATGATCTGTCTCAGATGATCTTCCAATTTGGTTCCACTTGGGTGACCCTTATCGCGAAACGGTTTGTTATGTCCATGTTCGAGGGTTCTCGCAGACGGACCGAACGCTTTCCGGACTGTCACATACATAAAAAAAACTTATGCAGACAACTCGTTAATTAATCACCCGTGTCGTGACTGAGCCTCAACAGTTTCGCATGACTTCGGCGCAAGACCGAGGATTGTCGGTGGTGATTTAATAAACAAAGAGTTTCAAGATGAGCCGAGGTTTAAAGTCCAGAGATCCGCTGCCCCTACCGCCAATCAGAAGGCCTCCTAGACACTCAATCTTCAGGCCATGTTGAGAGTTGCATCCTTCACCACTCAGTTGGGGTGACAGAGAAGCGGACGAATTCCACCGGGAGCGCCCGAAATATCAATCGAGCTCCTCTCAGGGCTGTTTTGTGGCGGAGAACCCTTCTGTCGAACTCATTTTTTTTTTTTTTGCCATCCTGGGGTGCAAGCCTAGATCTCATTGTCGCCATGCCGCGAGTCCCATCCTCTTCCTTCTTTCGGGCTGTCCCCACCACGACCAAGCTCTGTCTCAAGTCGAACGGTCCTATAAAAGCCCAATGGTTCCTGCATAGCCCTAGGAAGGTTTCCCTACCTCGAAATCTTTCTCAGCGACTCTATTCTTCTGGTACTCCATCCTACCTCCACCCCAGATTTCACTGCTAATCACTCTATCCCTGCTTCAGAAGCTGCATCACCAGTTCCTCCTCAGACATCTAAGCCTCGGTCCCGTCTACGTCGATTCGTGGGCTTTACATCCATTGCATTAATAGCCTTCACAGCTGGACTCGTTTACCAAACCCAAAAAACCGTTTCTCGCATGATGACGGTCACTCTGCGGACAGATGAGGAAACCCTCACTGCATTCGTCCCCCCCGACCAGTTCTCGCAAGAGGTCGACGAATTCATCCGTAACCATCCAATAGCTGTGGCACTGCGAGAAAACCCCGCCTTCACCGAGTCCCGGCCGCATTTGAAAATCCCCGCTGAACTGCGCGACCGCCATCTGACGGCGGGCACCCTTTCGGGTCCAGATCGAATTGTTGTTCCGCCGCGCGTGTTTTCCGAGAAGGACGGAAAGAGCCTGGTTTCAATCTTCTACCTCGGCTCTGCCATCAGTGGTCACTTGGGAATTGTCCACGGCGGCCTTCTGGCCACACTGTTGGACGAGGCGATGGCACGGTGCTGCTTCCCCGCTCTGCCGAATAAGGTGGGCGTAACGGCCAATCTAAACATCGACTACCGGCGCCCTGCTATGGCGGAAGCCTATGCTGTTCTGCGGGCTGAGACCGTGAAGGTCGAGGGTCGTAAAGCCTGGGTGGAGGCGCGCATTGAGACTCTGCCGAAGGAGGGTGAGGAGCCCGCGGTTTTGGTCGAGGCAAAGGCCTTGTTTATAGAGCCCAAACAAGCTGCGGTATGTTTATCAGTCCAAACAAATCAAGACCAGAAGCTAATATCCTTTCTTCTCAGGCCATGTCGAGTTTATACAATATCACTAACTAGAGCTTCCGTTATCTTGAGATCGAGTCGATTTCTGGAAATCTAAATAACGTGACATATGCATTTATTGGATAGGCGTACAGACGGTTGGAGACTGGTTTGTTTCAGTGAAACTGTATATAGTGACTGTATAGTATTTAGTTTGGTTAGTTCTTAGACGTAGCCCAGCAGTATGCGAACAGGGCAATTCATGTATGTTTTAATTGAACAATACTTCTTCCTCGAGGACAGGATCGACCGGAATGGCTTTAGGCCACACATGCGAAAAGGCAAAATATAAGATACTGCACACTAAAGCGAAAAGTTGGGACTGATTTTACTCATCGACAAGGTGTAAACATACGCCAATTTAGTATATCAATAGGCGTGACCTTAACTGGCCGCCGACCGCCTCCCGGGATCCGCAGCTGGGAAGCTCTCCAACACCTTAACTTCACGACACCGACCGGCGGCCAGACTTCCCAACCTCCCTCCTCCTTGTCCGCTTCTCCATTCGACTGCCTCATGCCCGCTTGCTGAGCGTGGCAACAGGTCATTACCTTCTACTCGATCAAACCCCCTTATCGCCTGTACAACTGGGATTTTTCGTCACCATGTCCAAACCGACCAAGTACATCCTCGTGTCCTTCCCCACTTCCATCACCCCGTCTAACCACCGCGACGACGCTCTCGACGCTGTCTCTGCCACCGTCACACCGGAAAATGGATCGGTCGCCCCGTTCCCTATTCCCGAGTTCAAAATCGGTACATTAGACGCCTTAGTACAGCAGGCCGATGAGCTGGCCAAACTCGAGACCGCCTGCCAGGTTGTTGTATCGAAGGTCAGCGATGCGCTGAAGAATATCTTGGAGGGTGACGAATCGCAAATCAGCAAGATGAAGGCTGTGAATGACAGTATGCTTTGCTCCGGACAGGCGGCCCGCCATTGAACAAGGTGTTAACGTTGTGTCATTAGAGCCGGTGGATCAGTACCTGCGGACCTTTACGTGGAACAAAGTCAAGTATAGGGCCGATAAGTCTTTGGGTGAGCTTATCGACCTTCTCCAGAAGGTATGCCCCTAAAAATTGTCCAACTGGTCGCTTGGGGTGTCTAACTGTGAATAGGAAGCTGCCAGCATCGACAATGACATCAGGTCGAAGTACTCCCAGTACAATCAAGTCAAGACCACCCTGGCCACTCTCCAACGAAAGCAAACGTGCGATATTCCCCTAATCTATACTAACGGGATACTGACGTCTATTGTAGAGGTAACCTGGCCACAAAGTCCCTCGCATCAGTTGTCGACCCCCGGAGTGTAGTCCAGAATTCAGAATACCTCGAGACACATCTTGTTGCCGTCCCAGCTCAACAGGTTAAAGAGTTCCTCAAGACGTACGAAACCGTGTCGCCCATGGTGGTACCCCGGTCTGCGACGTTTGTCGCTTCGGATGACGAGTTCACGCTGTATGCGGTCACGACGTTCAAGAAACACAGCTTGGAGTTTGTCCACAAGGCCCGTGAACACAAGTGGATTCCTCGTGAGTTCAAGTACGTGGAAGGTGGAAAGGAGGAGGAGCGCAGAGAAGTCGAGCGCGTAGGCGGCGACGAGCGCAAACTCTGGGGCGAGACACTGCGGCTCGGGCGGACAGCCTGGAGCGAGGCCGTCATGGTCTGGATCCATGTTCTCGTTCTCCGTGTCTTTGTTGAGACCGTTCTACGCTACGGTCTTCCTCTTGACTTCGTTTGCACTCTTATCCGGGTATGTATCTACAGCTCATGGTCTTTACGGTTTAGGGCTAACATGATGTAGACACCGGGTTCCAAGCAAGCTGACAAGGCGAAACACAACCTGGATGAGAAGTACTCTTACCTCGCCGGGAATGCGTTCGGACGGGACAAGAAGGGTCGGGTCAAGAAAGACGACCCGAGCGAAGTACACGAGGGAGGCGGTGAATACACAGCATACGTGTACTATGAGTTCGAGCTCAATTAGGGGGACAAGATCCTGTGGATATCTGTCTGGGTACGGTACACTTGATACCTTGTTTTGTAGCGTATATACTTTGCTTACTTGCTTCGCATCATATCTTGACTATCTGAACGAAACACAATCGAAGACCCAAAAAAGGTGTAAAATTCTATGTATAGATCACCGATCTAACAAATCTAGTCCGCAAATATCCACAAGAACAAACCCACATACAACGAAAAACGAAACACAAAAACGATCATCTACTCCTTCTTAGGAGGCAAGTAACCCTGGGCATCCAAGTAATCCACAATCTGCTTCACAGCATCCTGGACTGGCAAATCATGGTTATGAATATGCACCTCGGGCTTCTCAGGCTTCTCATAAGGCGCACTGATACCGGTGAATTCCGGAATCTTACCCTGCCTAGCCAACTTATAAAGACCCTTGGGGTCACGCTCCTCGGCAACCGCAATGGGGACATCAACGAAGACCTCAACGAAGGGCAAACCAGTCTCCTCGCCCGGGGTGGGAACTTGATGCAGTTGGCGCGCGGTATCACGGTCTGCACGGTTGGGCGAGATGAACGATGTGATGGCGATGGAGGCGCTGTCGGCGAAGAGCTTGGCGACCTCTGCGATGCGACGGATATTCTCGGTGCGGTCCTTCTCGCTGAAGCCGAGATCCTTATTAAGCCCGAAGCGAACGTTGTCACCGTCGAGACGATAGGCGTGGACGCCCCGGTCTCGGAGGAGCTGGTGCTCGAGCTCGACGGCAATGGTGGACTTGCCCGAGGCGGAGAGACCAGTGAGCCAAATCGTGAGACCGCGTTGGTTGCGGACTTCGCTACGTTCGCTGCGCGTCAAGGCGCTGGCGTGGAAGGTGATGTTTCTTTTGATCGTTATGTTAGTGACTGCCGGCTGGGGATGGAGGGGTATATGCATGGTGGGGAAGGGAAGAGAGGGATGTTTGGACATACGTGGCCTTGGTTGTCATTGTTGCGGAGGGTTTATGGTGGATTGGATGAGGATAGTGGTTTTAGGGAAGAAAAGCAATTGAGGGGATTGAGGATAGTTTTTTTTAAATTCAAGTATTGTGATGAGGAATCAGGAGGGGTGGAAAGGAAAGGACGTGGCTGTCAATGCCGAACCATGAAACAGCGGGGCGCCGATCGCGGGGGTTCGCTCCTTCGGTGTGCGTATGCTGCTGCATAATCATAATCTATTTTACTAAAAATTAAAATCATGATCATCCAGGTGTTTGGATATACATTCTTGGCTTGAACAATTGTCACCTGTTTTTTATTGTTTCGGTAATTCTCTTTGTTTTTCTTATTTCTTTGTTTTTCTTATTTCTTTGTTTTTCTTTCCCGTCCTCCTTTAGAAGCTGCTTAACGTTGTATAATCACGTCACATGGGCCCTGCATCATGATACCCTTAGCTTGCTCTTTCCCTACATATCTATACCCCTCTTCTATGTACCTAATCCCAACAAATACTCTCCACCTACCAACACGGCATCGATACGCTACTAATCCATCGCACTAAGTGCTCATGACGTGAATTAAACCATGAAGCCAATAGAAGGCAACCGGTGCCGATCAAATGAACTTACAGATCCTTTAGAGATGGCCGTCCAGTAGCCCAGACTCTACATCAGCCCGAGTACTCCACTCACTGCCAGGTAGATTCTGAGCAAGGATCACCTCGAATCAACTGACTCTACGTGGGGGGATCTCCCAGCGCTCTGAAAGGATAAGCGATAGAAAAGGATGGAGACTCTTGACCAAACTTGGGGGTTCAGTATCCCACTCTGTCTCTACAATACCTGCCAATTTTCCAGGTGATAGAAAGAAACTCAGTCAACAATAGTCAAAAATCATCGATTTCTTATCACACGCCCTCTATCATCTACAGAGGCTCAATGGTTTGAGACTGGTAATTCTTCTGCCAACCAATAATCTATTGATGGCCGATGACTCCATTATATGCCTAGGTCTTTTGTGCATATCAAAGGCATTGAGCAAAATGGATGACCTCAGCGATTCTACTAATCCATTAACCAGAGTAAGCTCGCGCATAAGCAGCCCTGATCTAGACACCATTATATGGTTACTCGCGCGACTCTTGAAAAGATACAGTCAAGAGCAGAAGACAATTCACTCGAGGTTTTTAATGAAGAAATGATTCAGCCTGAAAGGAAAAGTGTTGGAAGACCGTTGGAGGTCTTGATATACTAAAATCGTCAGCACCGGCCATTAGCTGTTTAGACTATCAGAGTGTTGGACAGAAACCCCAACAAGGCAGGTTGCAGACTCCAAAAAGACATACAACAGCTGTCACCTGATAGGGAACCCTTGAGAAAAGTGTAACCGTCAATTTCCAGGCTTTCGATGCTAGTAATCAGGTCAACCTGAGCCAGTATGCCAATCTCAAACAACTCCTTTTACTAATAATTTTTGACTTTAGTTTCATCAAGCACAGGGCTGCTTTCCCACGGCTTGGGTGATCAAGTCGGCGTTGTACCGTATTGGAGCTCTCAAGGGAAGAACTCGGAAGTAAGCATCCAGATATCTACGTGGGCAGACATTCCGCTACCGGGATGCTTCTTCTTAGTGAAAAAGACAAGCAGTCATTTGTCGTCCATATTTAAATATCCGACGGCGCAGCGGCTAGACACATGCCCAGCTCCACTAGCGCATACGGAAATGCAACCCTAGCTTTTTATTTGATTCAGAATTGGGGTCAAGGGCCAAGATATACAAACTTAATTCGTCCTCAATATTTTTTGGTTTTGTCCGCTATGCAGGATTGGTCTTCCCTCATCCTGTGGAGATATGTACCCATTATAGACTGTGACAGGGTAGCCTGCAGTGTGATTTCGCAAACAGAGCTGAGAGGGCAGACAAGGGGGAAAGGTGGGGTAGTATACTACGCACGGGGAGCTAGGCTGAGCTGACACGTCAAGCAAACAGTGAAACCCCTCATGGATGTCTGGGGCCTTTCAAGGATGTGTATTCCTCTCCTCTGCGACAAGCACCAGCTCTTCTAACTACTTTCCTTATGATCGGCCCACAATTGCGAGGCTAAGAAAGCTTCGGGGCATCAATCTTTGCTCATAGTGTACTATGAGCTGCTTCTTTTGTTAGAATCAGGCTTATATCTGTCCAGCTTAATGCCATTATGCCAAAGAACCGTCGCCTCCGGCTGCTATTGGGCTTTCGCCGTTCCCGTGAGAAAGCGAGCACAGACGCAGATCCCGCAAGACTTACTATCTTTCATGGACATGACACTCGTTTGGAGTCATCAGACGCCCGGTTACAAAGCAGTGGTTCAAGGCGTCATCGCTCGATACCATGGTTGAGAACCTCAAATCGCAATAAAAACAAAGATGCAGAAACAGATCCCACCATATTCGATCAAGAAATAGCAAATACTCGGCAATGCTTGAGTCACACAGAGCATAATGATGAACCTGGTACCAACGAAGGAAAAGTAAGGATCTCAGCAGAGTCAAATAAGACTACGCAAATGGCCCCGGTTAAAGGGGAGGAAGAACGGCAAGACGAAGCGAACATTGCGAGACTGGGAGAACAGATGATGAAAAATCTGTGGAGTGAGGCATATAAGAAGCTCCACAACGATAATGCTAGTTTAATCGAATCATATGAGAAGGTCTTGCTGGCTACTGAGACCTATCAGATGGTTGAAAGATCTCCGACTAAGCAGGAAAAAACAGATCGACAAAAGAGACTCCAAGACCTTGTTTTCTGTAGACTCCAGGATATGGAACAAGGTCGATTTGATATTCCGAGAAGAAGTAGACAAAGTGTTATTGGGGATTATGTTCGTCGTACTGTTCATGGCATTCTCTATGCAAAAGACTTCGTTACAGCAGCAATTAGCGCGGAGCCCCATGCTGCGCTTGCATGGGCTGGGGTCGTGATGGTGCTCCCAGTAAGCGATTCCTTTTCACTTTGTCTCTCATGGCATAACACTAAAACCATATTTAAGCTGTTCTTGAAACCATTTACCCAGCGTGAAGATGCTGTGGCAGGACTCGAGTTTATTTCAGATCTTTTGGTCCGATATCAGGTTATCCAGAGCTCACATGCCCGAATGTTTATGGATCCCCTGGGTAAAAGGTACATATATGGTTTGCTCCACCGTTCAATGTCAATATGGCATGATCTACCTGGTAATAAAGTTAAAAGTCATATTCTAAGGTCATGATATAGTACTCCTGAGGATGGATCCAAGGTTGGCCGTCGGCTCAGAGAAAGGACTATTACTTTATACTGTCAAGTATTGGAGTACCAGATCCGACTGACGAAGCAACTCTCTCGCTTTGGACTTATCCAGTACATGAGAGATATTGCGACCGCTGATGACTGGAAGGAAATGCTTACGGAAATCAAACACACCGACAAATCGATCGAAGAATTATTAGGGGATTGGTCAAAGAAAACGGTCCAGGAGATCCATGCCGAGCTTTTCTCAATGAAACGCGAGGTCGAAGGGCGGTTGAACATTGTCCTTGGCACCATCAACGTAAGATACATAGTGTCCCGAGGTCGACTATCTACAAGTCATAACTTAATTCATTATAACTCTAGACCCAAGCATCTCAAGATCAACTAGACACCCTCCATCCAGTTACGCGCGCTGCCTTTGGCTCATATGAACAAGCTAGAGAAACATGTCTTGTCGGTACTCAGGTGCCTTTACTTCAACTTGTTCAAAATTGGAGCAATGATGCCGAGGGAGAACCTATTCTGTGGCTCCAGGGTATGGCCGGTACTGGCAAGTCTACAATTGCCCGAACCGTGGCTGCTGCATTCTACAATGGAACATCTTTATTAGGCCAGGGAACCCTACCCAGTGAGGCGTGTCTCGGTGGTAGCTTTTTCTTCGACCATAGGGATGAGGACTGTAGAAATCCTAGGAAACTCTTTCCCACCTTAGCAAGAGGCCTAGTCGAGGTTCTACCGGAAATTCAGCAATCCTTATGTGATGGTATTCGCAGCCATCATGCCACTCATGCACAATCATTAGATGCTCAGTGGAAACATTTGATCTTCAATCCTCTGAAGATGCTGAAAACAACGCTTCCTGTGACAGTACTTTTTGTTCTCGATGCATTGGACGAGTGCCAAGCTGGAACTAGGGAGGATCAGGATGATATCAGCGATATACTGGCTCTTCTCAGTCAAGTTCGGGAGTTAAAGACCGTCCGAGTTCGAGTACTCATTACTAGTCGTCCAGAAACACATATACGCTATCGATTCAATGAGATACCAGAAAGTATTCGTGACGAAACCGTGTGCAAAATCCGACGGCTAGATGGAGAAGAAGTAACGGCAGATGATATTACCCGTTTAGTTGAATATAGGTTGTGGGAAATTAGAAGGAAGCACGATCTCCCGCAGAACTGGCCTGGAGAGGAGAGGGTCGAACAGCTAGCTGAGAAAGCCGATGGGCTATTCATATATGCAGCCACAGTGTGTCGATTTCTTTCAACAGCCAACAGAAAAACGATTGAAGATCGCCTAGCGAGGATCCTCGACGGTGATGTGGGAGAGACCGCCAAAGAGAGCCTGGACGGAATGTACACTAGAATCCTCCAGATAGTGCTTACTGGAGAAGTGGACAACGACCAGGCAATGTCCGACTTATTTAAGCAAGTAGTTGGTCCCATTCTTGTTCTATCTAGACCGCTTTCAATCATAGCCCTAAGCGGGCTTATTGAAGTCGAGCTTAGCGACACAAGATGGCTTATGGAGCACCTTTATTCGGTCCTGGAAATGCCTCAAGGAGATCATGGTCCCATTCAATTGCTACATCTATCATTCAGGGATTTTCTTCTAGCCTCTCAGCGATGCAAGGATAGTCATTTCTGGATCGATGAGAAGCAATCTCATCGCAACCTTTACCAACACTGCCTGAAGGTCATGTCTAATACCCTGCGGCGTGATATATGCTGCCTTGAGGACCCCGGTATTCATGTGACAGATATAAAACCTTCAGTCGTGCATGAATTCCTTCCCGAGCAGGTGCAGTATGCCTGTAGTCACTGGGTGGACCATCTTCAGCAGAGCGATATTGTGGCGTCTAATGACGCGGTGCTTTATGACTTCCTGCGAACACACTTTGTTCACTGGCTCGAAGCTATGACTGTTATGGGAAGCATCCCAATCGCGATCATGATATTAAATAACCTAACCACTCTTCAGGTAAATGCCTCGTAACCTCGGTGCTGGATTTATGCTAATGGATGTAGCTGGAGACTAACGCAAAAATGCGGAGACTGGTTCATGATGCACGACGGTTTGCTGTCAGCTTCAGATCAGTGTATGAGAAAGCTCCTTTGCAACTTTACGCATCTGCTTTGCTCTTTGCACCACAGGAAAGCATCATTCGATATGAGTTTCGAGAAGAGATTCCTGCTTGGATATCTCAGAAGCCAAGTGCTCATCAGTATTGGAGCCCATTACTGCACACCATCCCAAAGCCTCGCGGTGAGGTGATCAAACGCTTAATATTCTCAGCAAACAGCAGGCTAATGGTAGTGGTATCTAAGTATATGTATTCACATGTGTGTCGGTTATGGGATACGTCAACCTGGGTTTGCCTGAAATCGCTTGAAGATCAAGGTAACATTCGAGATGCTGCCTTTTCACCAGACAGCAAACAATTAGCAACCGTATCGGAGGCCGGATCCGTCCGGCTCTGGAATACACACACGGGGAGATCAATGTTTCTCAAATCAGATTCAAGTGCCATAACCTTGGTGGTATTTTCGTCAAATGGTGAAAGGCTCGCAGCTAAATCTAACGAAGAGATCAAGATTTGGGACTTAGCATCGGGGAGCCTGCTGCAAGGAATACCCCAGAAAAGGAGCACAATGATTTCCATCTCCCCTGATGGCAGATTTATAGCATCTTTGGATGCTTTTGAGGTTATCGTGTGGAATGTTTCACAGGTGGCGGTTGTACACACTCATAGGCAACCGGGGGTCCATACGATCGAATTCTCCCCTGAAGGGAATTTACTAATTGCATGCAAGGATGGCACAATCGAACTGTGGGATTGTATTGCAAATACTTTGCGGTCTTATAACAACAGTGGGTACAAAACGTTGTTCGCGGGTTTCTCACCCAACAGCAACGACATCGTAATTCTCTCAACAAACGGTCAAGTCAACGTATGGGATTTGTCTACAAATGAATACAGAAGCAATATACACCATATAAGTGGCTCAGAAAATCCCGACCCATACTGCGGAATGGTGTCATTCCCACGATTCGGTGAGCTCGCGGCTTCTTCAGTGGGCGATGGACCGAAAGAGATCTGGACACTCGTCCCGGGGGTCTTGACGGAATTATTCAGATTCTCCAGTAGACTACTGGAGGCACTTGCATTTTCGCCAGATTGTGAGATTATAGCAGCCTCTGGTTGCTGGGCAGAAGAGATTGCGATCTGGAATGGATCATCAAAGGTTTCGAAGGTGCTTGATAATGTACATCAAGATACCATTACTGATCTGGGCTTTTCTCCTAATGGTACTGTTGTTGCATCCGCCGCCAAGGATGGCACAATCAGACTCTGGGAGGCGCAATCAGGAAGGCATATAAACTGTCTGCGAGAGGTGGAAGATTCTGAGGTTCGGAGTGTAAGGTTCTCAGCCGACAGTCATACGATAATATACCGAACGTATAATGGGCTATGTGTTATCTGGGATGTGCCGACGTGGAAGGCTCTAAAAAGGCTTGAACTTGGAAGGGACCCTTGGCAACTCTCAAACATGGCCATATCGCACGATAGTCAACTGGTGGCAACCGGATGTTCTGAGGACCGAAAAGACACAAGTCGTATTGATCTCTGGAACTTGGCCTCGGCAAAACCGCTCCTCACATTCACAGAAGAATATATCACTAAGGACAATGAAATCTCACCTCATGGAGACTTCATAGCATCGACCTACTATGATTCTTCAGTACTTCGGCTTCGGCACATCCGGACAGGAAACCTGATACACTCCATGGACCATGGAGAAAAATCTCCAGCCATTGCATTCTCTCCAAGTGAGAACATGATTGCATCAGCAGAGCAATCCGTCAAATTATGGGATACTTCTACCGGTACATGCCTCGGCCAACGTTTAATCGACGGTCGTGTTGAGTCTATGGTCTTCTCTGAAGATGGAACGTACCTCCGCACCAACGAAGGTCAGTTCCAAGTTGCCTCGATCCTCGGTGCTGACCCCGATTTGTGCACTGATAAGATGGTAGGAGAGGGGGTATACGTTCATGATAATTGGGTCATGGAAGGGAGTAAGAAACTTATATATCTACCTGTAGAATACAGGGTTCGTACATGTTCTTTTGGAAATCGTGTTGCTATAGCAAGCAAATCGTCTTCTGTCATGATCGTTGGGCTCAGTGCGGATGAGAGGAAAACGATATGAAGGTGTCTGGCACCAAAAATTGTATCTAATTTATATAATGTCATTTATTCTCTTTGTCATATCTTCCATTCTCAAATTGGGTACCCATCAGAACACCAATACTGCGCTGCCTCCTTATGCTTGTGTATATATTAGTGATCAGGTTGAAATAGTGATGGTAAAATAAAGCCCCAATTTTCGGTCTTTCGTCTCTCGCATGGGATTAAAAATGGCTATATTCAATGCTAGGAGATACTATTGGCATCCTGCAGGGAACGCCCTACTCTACTGTTCAACACACTGTATTCTATCTGCCTCCCAGCTCTCACATTTACATACAAAGCTTTATGCGCCAATATCCCAGCACTAATTCAATGGCTTTCCCCCCGCTAAGCTGATCACCTTCTTCGCAGCCCCTTCAAAGCTATCAAAGGCATGAAGCGGAAGCCCACTCTCAGCGATCTTCTACAGTCAGTACCACTCACACTCATCTATCACGGCATGCACTCACCATTTTCTGTCCCTCTTCCTCGTTAGTCCCCCTCAATCGCACGACCACCGGCACACTCATATGCAAGTCTCTAAAGGCCATTATAATACCCTCGGCGATCATATCACACCGCGTCAGCCCGCCAAAGATATTGACAAAGATAGCCTTCACCCGTGGGTCGGACGTATAATCCGGAACGATGACTTGACCGTCTCGGAAGTTGCCTTGCCTCCTGTATCCAGGAAATTGGCACAATGGCCGCCGTGAATGGTGAGTGCATCTACTGTGTTCATTGCGAGCCCGGCGCCGTTGACTACTCATGTTAGTTTGGGGCCTTTTATTTGGATTTGTAGCACGACGTACCTAGAGTTCCGATGCTGCCTTCTCCCTGTAATCTATGGTGTGTTAGTGCCATGTTCTGCATTTCGAGTTGTTGGTACCGAAACATACTTTACGTAGACTATGCCGTCTTTCTCTGCTTCAACTTCTTCGTGCACTTCTTCTGCCTGGTTCCGCAGACTGTGGACTTCCTTCTGGCGTCCTGAGCTTCGGAATGCCGCGTCGTCGAAGCCGAAACGTGCGCCTCGGACTTCCAGTCCTTCTGGGGATGGGTTTACCCGGACTTCTAATAGATAGGCTTCTTTTTCTTTGAATATTTGCCACAGTGCTTGGACTAATTCTGCTAGTTTCTCGTGTGTAGTGTCGGGGAGTTTAAGGTGAGAAGCAATGGATTTGATGATTGGAGAGTTGCAGCTGAAGTCTGTGTTGGCGTAGGGGAAAGGGAATTTGTCAGTGTGCAACGGCTCGAAATCGGCAGCTGTTGAAGCTATAACACAGGGCGACAATGCTGTTCTATCGACCGTGAGATTTAGAAAGATGTCGGATTCTGAGGGGTTTGCTTCGTTGACTGAAATGGACTTTTCCTTCAACATGTCCAGGGCCTGGAACTGCTTGATGAAGAGGGACCGGGTCTGGTTTGAGGGAGACGCTCTTTGGCTCTTTTGTAGGGATACACGTCTCATTGTGTGCAGACTTCTTCTCTGGTTTGGGGCGGTGGTAGACTGGGATATTGTTAGTGCCTTCAACACGTTTGATATAAGTCTTGTGGAGGCTTACCGTCGTGTTCTGAACCCGTGGTCGACTATTCAGTAGAGTCTTCATTCCTTCGCCGAACTTCTCTGGGTGGTTAACCATGACTGCGCCGGCGCGCTCGAGGGCTTGGTACTTCACGTTTGCATCCGGTTCCCCAATCGCAGTCCATGCACCCGCGTGGCCCATGATTCGTCCTGGGGGAGCGTGCAATCCACCAACTAAGGCCATGACCGGTCTTGTCTTCCAGTTAGTATCAGAGCAATTAGTAGATTGAGGACTAAGCCACATACTTAGGATTCGCTGTTCTTCTGTTGTAGTCCTTGATCCATTCTGCTGCGTCAATCTCCGCCGTTCCACCAATCTCGCCCACGAGAATGATACCCTCCGTATCGGGGTCATTCTCAAAGATCTTCAGGGCATCGACGAAATTAGTCCCAGCCAAGACGTCCCCACCCATACTGATACAGAGGCTCTGCCCCAGGCCCGCTCGTGTAGTCGACGCAACAGTCTCATAGCTTAAAGTTCCCGATTTGGCAACGATACCGATCTTCCCCGGAGAAAAGCACGGCAACGGCTGGAATCCTATCCGACACTTCCCAATTGCAGAGATGATGCCGGGGCAATTGGCCCCAACTAGTCTCGTTTTGGACTGTGTCTGAAGCATGGAGTGGATCTGTGGAGCATGGTGTCAGCATGGGCCTGTGTGTATTTTACTGTAGAATAGCAATCATACTCTGAGAATATCATGGATAGGCACATGCTCCGCCACGGCCACGACGAGAGGAATCTCAGCTTCAATGGCTTCTTCAATTGCCTTCGCTGTCTGGTTCCCCGGTACGTAGATGGCTGATGCATCGGGCTTCGCCTTCTCTTGGGCCTATTTCAATCAGTATTTGACTCGTACAGTTAGAATTGGTTGGGAATTCGTACCGCTTTCACGGAGGGGAACACAGGAAGTCCGAGGTGCTCGCCTTCAACTCCTGGCTTTACGCCTCCGACAATCTTCGTTCCCCAGGCCAATGACTCTTTTACGTTGGCAGTGGCCTGGTCGGTTAGTTATTCTGCTTGGTTACTGATTCTGGTGGTTTTCACTGTACCTGTTTGCCTGTAACTCTCCATATTAGTATATTTCATCGGAAAATTTCTCATACAAAGACTAACTCACCTGTAAACCCCTGAAACAGAACCCTGGTATGCGCCCCGATCTTCAAGTTCGGGAGCGTATCAGCGTAGGAGTAACTCCGCGACGAGGTAGAGAACCCATTCCCAGATATCCGTGAAAAGGACACCCTCCGCACCCGCGCAGGGAGAGATCGCAAGTTCGTCATTTTGCGTCTCGAATACTACTTGTGGATGTATCAGTGAAGTACCCGGTCCCGCGTTCTGAGCACCTAAGTACTACTAGCCACCCTGATGATATCCGCTTGATAATGACCAGTAATGGAGACGGATTCTTGAGATTAAACACTCTTTGAATATCCACAGGCTAGCGTCCAGCGGCAGTAGAATCCAAGAGAGAAGGCACGGTGCCTGGGGAGATAGATTTGAAGAGGAGAAACAATACCTCGGGAGATGGAGAGTGTGGGTGCCGGTCTCGGACTCCGCACCGATTGTTTCCGAGGGTTTGCGGGCGCCCCGTAATGGATTGTGATTGGTCCTCTCGGAACTGTGGTGCGTGGTGTCACTCGGAACGTGTTCTATTTTTCTTGGCAAATCGACTCCATATGGGTGTGTTTTCAATGTTGGTGTGGTTGTGATCTTTCATTGGATATAATTCATTATCGAAGTTTTGTTTGCTTCTCATGGATGGAGTGTGTATTTATAGGGGGCCAGATCCAGCAAGTATCACTAGTTTGTGAAATTCTAAGCATCTTAAGACCAAGAGATATATATTAGTTTCAAAAGAAAGGCACATTGATAGAACAATGTGCATCCGGGAACATGTTCTTTGTTTATACTAGTATGTAACGTATTTCCGACAACAGTATCTCCCTATATTGTAGTCCTTTGGTCGATACTATGTGAGTCCAAGTCTTTGGCCCATAATCTTATCATTTTTAGATAACTAAAGTCGCTTTCCTGTGGAGTTGGACGGAGGAATTATCGGACATATGCATACTTAAATACCAGACAGTTAATCGTGATTGGTTTCTCTACCAGCTTATCCCCGGGACAAGTGCAGGTACATGAGGCTAGTTAGAGGGCGCATTCGCTGATTACAAACCAACAACGCAGGATTATCAAAGCATACAAGCATTCAGTGCCTGACATGACTAATTGCATTCTATAATACTCAATAGCCATAACTAGTATACGCGACGTATTTCTTGATAGTTTGCAACATGCAGCGCAATGCGCAAAGGTCGAACCTTCATCTACTCTTAAAATGAAAGCCATTGTTCTGAATGGCACCACCGCTACGGTGGTGAGCTCACGGCCCATCCCTAGGCTTCGTGACGACTACCTTCTCATTAAAACTGTGACCGTTGCCCTAAATCCAACTGACTGCAAGGCGATCAGTCAGGGAAGAGGGGCGAAACATGGCCTAGCTGGCTGCGACTTCGCCGGTATTGTCGTAGACATCGGACCAGCTGTCAACAAGCGTTGGAATAAAGGTGACCGGGTGTGTGGCTGTACTCATGGTGCTAATAACCGGAATCCAGATGATGGGTCATTCGCAGAGTTTATCGTTGCAAAAGGGGATGTCTGCATCAGAATGCCAGATAGCATGAGCTTCGAAGAAGCAGCTGGTATCGGCGTCAGTGCGATTACATGCGGTCAAGGTCTATTTCAGAAACTGGGGCTGAATCTCCCCCTTGATCCTATTCAACGGAAAGAGTACATCCTGGTTTATGGTGGTAGCACGTCGGCGGGAACTCTTGCCATCCAATATGCCAAGCTGTGAGCCCGTGTCCTGCTGACTTGATATGAGTACGCGGATTCCTAACAAGATATATAGGGCCGGCTATTCGGTCCTCACAACTTGCTCCCCTAGGAATGTAGATCTGGTCAAATCACGCGGCGCTGAAGCAGTCTTTGACTATAACGATCCATCATGTGGGGAGCAGATCCATCGTTACACGAAAGGGGAACTCCAGCTGGTCTGGGATACAATCGGTTCCGAACAAGGAGTTCGAACCTGCATGACCGCTCTGTCAACGAATCCCGGGTGCCGATACGGTACCATTCTACTTAATGATATCCCACGACAAGATGTCGCCTGTACCCGGAGCATCATGATGACGTTTCGCGGTGAACCTTTCGAATTGTATGGCAAACATTTCCCGGCAAGCGCTGAGGACTTTGAGTTTGCAAAGATGTTCACCCAATTGACGGAAACACTTCTCGCTGAAAACAAGTTGAAGCCTCATCCAGTCAGAATCGGTGAAGGAGGTTTGCAAGGCGTACTAGAAGGTGTGGAGTTGGTGCAACAGGGGAATGTGAGCGGCGTTAAATTGGTATATCGAGTTGGCGACACGCCTTGATGTTTGTAGGTAAGGGTTGTGTTCCCCACAATCCAAGATTGCGTACCCGGACCAAAGGTGTGGTTCGGCATGAAAATATAAGCATGGATGCCTACCATGTTAAATTAGCCTTCTCTTTGTTCATACCCTTTGTTGACCCCTGCCATTGGAACGATGTCAAATCCGGGGTGATATCAAGGCACGCTGTCGATCATCCTGTCCATGTGACTTTCATGTACAAGCAATGTAGAATAAAAGGGCTTGCGATTGGTCGGGGGCCTTCAATAATGAGATTTGCCTCAGGATGAAGTCATATTTGCTCATAAGAACCTTGTACATATTAGTACCTTCAGAAGAACAACAACATATGTGGACGGTGATCTTCTCGGTTGATACAGGATTTGGATGGTTAAAAGCCAACCCATTGACTTGAACCGAATGCTGTGGCGTCAAGGGTTGGCCAAGGGGGATTGACTAGTAATGCCAATAAACGTACAGAAATGCTCTAAAGTGTAACCAATGGGAAAACAAAACAAGAGGAAGGAGAAAGATCAGATACATTGAAGGAGGTAAAATCAGACCTTCCATGCTGGCATATAAGTAGTAGTCTCCTGGGCCGGGTTGGGATTGTAGTAAAGGATCCATTCACCCGGCAGCAGGTGTCCTTGTCAGGTGCTCTCTCCAAGACCTCTAGATTCATGAACAAAGCGACTGTTCTGGACGTCCCCGGCACAGGCCAATGGAAGCGGGCGGCCGAAGGAATGGTGGGGTTCAACTTCTCCACGACTGACGACATTCATTATTTCCACCTCCAATGCTATTAATATCCTCTCTTCCGTCAATTGCGGATCTTTGAAACGGCTGTCGACTCCGACCATCTGGCCGACTATTAAGAGAAACAACTGACATGGCAAAGCCCGGTCCAGAATCCAAGGGTCCGTGATTATCCCTCGCAACCATTGACCCTGTGCGGTCTGCTTTTTACTTTCCCTCCCAACCCAAAAAGTTATACTTTGCCCGCTCTTGGGGCAACTACTATCTCAACTTTCCACACTCCTAACCCCTTCGTACACCTATATATTACTATTTATTATTTTTTTATACATTTCAACCTCACTGACAAACCGCCCTTAATGTCTATTTCAGAAGCCACCACCACGGAGCTCCAATCATCCCTCCGCGAACTCTCCCTCAGTACCAATAGCCCCGTGAAGGACATTGCCCGCCCGGCGGTGAGAACCACCACGGCCAAGGCAGCAAATCCCAAGAAGAAGGCCCCCGTTGTGGCCGACTCATGGGAAGACGAGGCGGACGAGTCGGAACCGGACATCAACTCCCCAGGATGTGCTAGTTCATCGCTGTCGCCATCCGTCACCACCGCAGAGGGGCCCTTAGATCCCCCGCCCACTCCGATTTCCCCCCAGACCTCCCAGACATGGGGCTCTGTGCCGGTGTATCCTAATTCTGGCGGTGTGTCGCCTCGGACGTCTGATTCCAGGTCCCCGTCCCGGAGGCCGGAGAAGCAGACTGCTGTTGCGGGGAGATTGATTGCAGGTGCTTTGGGGCTTCGGGCCCCGAAGCGGACGGAGGAGCAGCGTGCATATGATCGTGCTGTGAAAGAGAAGGAGATCAAACGGCGTAATCAGGAGCGGGAGGCGGCGGCTAAAGCTAAGGAGGAGGAGGAACGGGCGAAGACTGCTGTTTGGGATGATTAGGATTCTCTCTCTGTTCTATTTGCCGTTTATATCTCTGACATACGTGACACTGGCTCTTTTAATACCGTTCTTTTCTCTCTCGATGTCCTGTATAGTGCGGTGTGATTGCTTGTCCTTTACATGGGAATGCTTGGTTGAATCCTTCGTAGGTGTTTTATATTGAGGTATAGTACAAGGGTGTACGGCACGCCCGGTTTTACTTGTGTTCTTTGTGTGAATTCCCTAGAGTCTGATCTGGATCAGACAAACGGCAAGGACAATAACACTACTACTAGTTCTTAAATACGGTGACCAGAATTTGCATGCTTAACCCAAGGGAGAAGTACTGTGTCGTAAGTAGTTAATTCGTAATACTTAGATAACCTATCCACAGCCCAGCATGATTTTGGTTCGCTCGTGTCTAAGCTTTTCTAAGCTTAAATCAAGCCCGTAGGCGACCCCGTCCCAGCTAAAGCCCGACCGGGCCAACGCTAACACCATTGCGCCTGTGTGTCTCAAAATGCGACGGATGAAGGAAAAAAGGAAGTGACAAGAAGTGAAACACAAGTAGTGGGACGGGCCTCCTAACCTCCGATCTGCTCCTGGTGAACTTCCAAGGTATCGCCGTCGGCCATTTCCAGCTAAAGCGGGGTAAGAAACGGATGTTAGCCAGGTAATCTGAATGCGCAAAGTGTGGAGGTAAGGTAAACATACAGTTTCTGGCGTGTCTTCCGGGCGTACACGAGTTCCGTCGAACAAGAAACGGACAGTAGAAAATTGCTTCCCTTGACGCTCACAGAACGCGTCCATCAGCTTCTTGAGCTGCGTCGACCGCTTGATCTTGAAAAACACTTCGTTGTTGTTATCGGTCACTTTGATGTTGAGGTGTTCAACGGGAGTGGTATCTCCAGCGGGGAGTCCTGCGTCGGCCATTTTGGAACTGTGAGGGCAAAAAGGATTTGCGATGAGCGTGAAGTAGGTGGCGTATTGCTGTGTTTGAGTGGAATGTCAGCTCTGGTGCGATAGTTTCGTCGCAACAGGTGGCGGAGAAGTGAGAGTTGACAGAGATAGAAGAACTTACATGGAGGTGATCAAGGGTTCGGCGATGATGAAAAGACACCAGATGACGGAAAGGGCTCAGCTGAGGACGTAGTAATAGAAGAGCTGAAGATGCGAATGGATAGATGTCAATGGGCTGGCAGCGATGCGAAGGCGACCCCCACCACCGGCAATCAATGAATACTCACGGATAATCTATTTTGCGGCGCAGGTCCTGATTCCGGTTCCTTCTATGTATATGGCTTGTTTGTTGTGGCGCTGAATCTCTGGCAGTTCACGTTTCATTACCCTTGGGGATTTATGTGTTTGTTTTTTTTTTCTTTGAAAGGATTTATAATTGCATAGTGATATATAAAGTCGGCTTAACCAACAAGTTACTTTTCTTTTTCCTTTGTTTCTGATATTGCTGTTCCTGGATACCATTGCGTCATGGTAAGAGACTCAGAAGACGAAGTGATATTCCACTTGAATCAGGAGTGACAGATAATATAGGGAGGACTCAAAGAGGATCTGGCATACGACCCTCCATGCCATCCACGGGCGGTAAGTTTGGTCTCCTTCAGCCATCCGCGGTGAACTCTTTGCTGATGGGCCAAGTGCGCAATTCAAAGTACTACAGAGACCAACCGCCCCCGGATATATATAGTTCATGATGCTCATGACTAACCATTGCAGGCTGTTTAACGAAGAACTCATACCAGGAGGAAAAGTGCCAATCTCAGATAAATGCCCTGTATGAATGCTGTAACGCCTTCTACCAAGCTCAAGGGGAGGATGCGAAGACACCCAGTTGCCCCAAGCCCAGTCTGCTCAAGCTGAGGATGAAACAACGCGGTCAAAACTGAGAAAGTTTTTGCTCTTTTCCCTTGCATGGATGCTTCTTGTCCATGGTAACAAGAACTGTACATACTACTGTCCATATATGAACTACGAGCTGCTAAGCCTGGGCCAACATAAAGTACCCCAGAGAGGAATAGAAATAAAGTTATATGAAGCGATGTGACAATCCCTTTGCAATCTCAGCCCTCATGCGTCAGGAGGTTCTAGAATAGTTGTAAGAATTGCCATAATTCCTCTAAGACAATCTTGAGCACGCAAAGAGGCCGATTGACCTGAACGAAGATTGAAGCGCTCGTTCCGAGACTCTAATGATTGCCTATAGACATTTGATGAAGAAAAAGAAAAAAGGAAGAACGAGAAAAAAATGTTGAGGATTTTTAAATGCGTGTGCTGGCCGACAGCGCTAAACTCAATCGGAGTTAGCGGGCGGTCGGCCCCAAAACACGCCCGTTCAGCATTCGAGCAGAACAGAAGTTCTTCCCCCAAACCCTGTTTAAAGCTACAGATTCTCATCAAGCGGAGCCGCACTGAAAACTGTTGTGAGAACAGCGACGGTGGTCATTCTCACGCGCCATGGCTCCTTTAATAAAGCCCGCGGGGTCCGCTGGCTTTACGTCAGTAAATGTGAGTTTATTTGTTTTCGCGACTACTTCTTTTGGCGGTGCGCCAACTATTTTCTCTCCCAGGCTGCCCGAGGGTCGACATCGAATGACCCGGAGATCATCGAGATAGACGACGACGATGACGAACCAATGGATGACGAAGAAGACATCGACGCCAATGAACAAGATGATGAGGATATGGAAGAGGAAGAGGAGGTAGAAGAGTACGAGGAGGATGAGGAGTACAACGATTCGGTTGGGGAGACGAATGGAATAAACGGCGGCAGTGAGTCGCCGTTAGACCTTGGTCCCTTCCAAAATGGTCACAGTACGGCTTATCTCTCAATATATTGGCTCCGGTGAAAGGCTGACGGTCTTTAGAAGCGTTCGACATGACAACTCCGGAACTATTCACATCTGCTGGCGCACAGCAGGCATTGCATCCTCTTCGCCGAACCGCGGATCGGGTCACGCGCCAAATCGAGGCATTCGCAGAAAAGCTCGACCGTTTCAAGCAAAAAGAGAACCGTGATAGCGAGTTGGAGAATTACCAAGCTGCCTACCAATTGGTGAAAAGCTATCAAAATCTTGCAAATGATTCTATCGAGGATATCTCTAAACAGAACACTCTGAGGCGCGCAAAGATGGGGTGGAATACCGGCCGAACCAACGGAACAGCGGCGCAGGATCCCAAGACACAGGAGGAGCTTCAAAGATTACAGCTAGAAGCGAACACTTGGCAGCTCCTTCTAAATCTAATCAGTATCAACGATCCCCCAAGCAGGGACAGTGCCAAACAAGCTCAAGAGAATGCCTTCCAGAATCTTCACCGCTACTCGACCGATCGCGAAATTTGGGAACAGTTCGTGGGTGCTGACCACTATGCCCTGGAATGCGTGATCATCATGAAATGGCTGGAGCACACTTCAAAGTCAGCAAGTCAGGACATCGATTCGATAATCTCGGAGTTAGAGGCACAGGCCGAGAGGGGCCAAGGGATGTGGACCCACGGCTGGCTCTATACCAAGGAGACCATCAAAGGCCAAAAGCGACTGCGAGCTTGGCCTCAACCCCTCGAGCCTAACGACCCAGCTGTTGCCGCCTCGCTCTTAGTCTCGGAGAAGTCAGAATCAATGGTTACCCAATTGGATCCTGATGCGGTCACTCGGCAAAAACAAAAGCTTCAGAAACAGGATCAGTTCCATGAGCGCGCGACTTGGATGACTTGCTGGAAGATGCTGAGACAGGGCGAAAGCTGGACAAAGATTCGGGAGTGGGCGGAATCCTGCCTAGAGAATTGGCGAGCAGTTAGTTTGTGTGGCTCGAGCGTGGATGCAGGCTCTTCTCGCGGGGAACGGACACCTGTTGACGATGGAACCACGCGTATGATGAATTGGCGGTCACAAACCACCTGGCGAAACGCTTGCTCTGCTTTGGCGCGTAGCCAAGGAACCGAAGATTTCGAGCGCGCCGTCTATGCATTGCTTTGTGGCGAGACAGAAGCTGCCTTTAAGGTCTGCCAAAGCTGGGATGACTACCTTTACGTTTATTTCAACAGCGTTGTGCTCTCCCGCTATCAAGGGTTCTGCAAGCAGTTTCAACGGAAACTCAATCACTCGCCGACTGTTCCTGTTGCATTTGTTCCCGAGCCTGTGGGATATGCCGATGTGAACAAATTTGTGCTGTATACAAAGGGCAACGATCGCGTCGGGGTCGAGGCACGCAACCCGTATAGAACTATCCAGGCCGCTATCCTGGGTAAAGGGTACGACTCGTTTTTCCACTCCTTGGCGAAAGCGGTATCACAAGCGGCGGCGAGCAAGGGAGATCTGTCTTTCGTACCAGATCTTCCACCCGCTGCCGTGGATGACTCTTTACTGATTGCGGCTGAGGACGACGATGCCTTGAGGATTGCGACTCATCTCTACATTATTGCGAAATCACTCGGCTATGTGCGCTCAGATACACAGTTCTCGACTAATGCGTCTATCAATGTCATTGGATATATTGCTAACTTGGAGGAAGCCCGGATTTACGATATCATCCCTCTCTATGCATCGCTTCTACCAACATACCAGGCACACTCTGTGCTTGGCCAGATCCTGATTGAGGTAGTCGACCCGCGGGAGAGACGACAACAAGTCAGGCTCATGGAGAACCATGGTATCGATGTTGAAGCTGTCTTGCGTGATCAATGGCAGTGGGTTAGCGCCAGCGTCTCTTCAGTTGAGCATTCAAGCACGCTTAAGCGGTACCCCAAGGTTGTTCGTCGCAAGGATGGCCTGCCTGAGGTGGTACCAGTCAAGAAGGATTACATTGGAACCGATGTATCTGGTACGGAAGAACGCGTCATTCGGAGTCTGGAGTGGCTTCGCTATGTTGATGGACAATGGGGGAGGATCTGCCAACTGGGTGCTTTGCTGTACAGGAAATTCTTTGGTATGTCTGTGTGCCTCCAACTACCTCGGACATGGTATTGACTTATATATTCTACAGTTAGTGGGAGACTTGCTGCTGCTCGGGAGTTGAGTAGACGTATGAGGTTGTCAGATATATCACGGGAGTCATTTGGGTTTGATCTGACAGATTTACCCTTTGGCGTTGAGGATGGGGTAGAACCGTCAACTCCAGAGCCCTCCAGTCCGACCAAGTCGAGGCTGTTCGGCTCTCCTCATAAGCGCAACCGATCCTTAACGAATAGATTGCCCTCCGATGAGCAAACAAGTCTTTTAATCCAACAATCGCAAACTATGCGTGACTTGGAAGAGCTTATTCTGGCATTTAATGCACTAGAGTGGTTTGCTGTGGTTTGCGAGAAGCTCGATAAGTAAGTAACCTGCCCCTTGATATGGGGAATTTGCTGGGAAGGATCTAGCCGACTAACGTTGTACAGGAATAAACACAGACGCGATTCTGGCACGATCAAAAACCTGAAGGAAGATCTTCAGGAGTCGTTAGATGAAGTTTCTGTGCACGTTGACGCACTGCTGGATGAGTGGCTCATGGGGGCTGAGGACGGTAAGACATCCTCGAGAATACATGAAGGGACGTATGCTGACACCAATGGCCAATACAGAAACCGAACGAGCCGAGCTGGAAGAAATCCGAAAGACCTATATCCCGGAGCTTTTCCTCGACTATCACAATGCGCTGTACTATGCCGGACATGTGCTTACCAGTGAACTTCTGGTGCAGTGCATGAACCTGGCAATGCAAGTGTCCGAAAATGAGTATCTAACTAGCGCCTTTGTGGCGTCTCGTCGAATGGCGGAGCTCGTGGACGCGTTAGCCTTGGCCAGTAAGGCCATGGTCAACACGCAAGCGAGGCCCGGCAAGAAGCTTCTGGGAGGCGAGTCTTTGGGCATTTGGAATGTTGAAGTGCCCGATGAGGACATTGACCTCCAGGAGGCGCAGTGAAATGCACATGTACTT